GCGGTGCAAAAAGAAAAGGTTGGAAATTATTGCTTTATGTTATTATGTTATTATATTTGACATTGAATTGAATATCAAACATTTTTATGAAACACGTACAAGTAAATGAGTTACTGAGGCTTACCTGTAATTTTCTAACTTCCCGTAGATCAAGTTATAGTAATCGCAAAAAAATTGAAAATGAAATCTATATCTTCACGTTTCAAATGTTTCTGACCATTTTAGCATATCTTAGAAAAAAAAATGGATGTATGTGTTTGTGGCTGATACATTTTTTTCTTTATTGACATAATATTTTCATATCTCAGTCAGGCCGGGGTTCTTGGTATAAGATATTATGGAACAATTTTTATATATAGATATACATATATATCTATTTCATTCTATGTAATAAAATTTATTCATCCTTGCATTTAGTCAGCTATTTTTTATTTCTCTTTCAAATCTTCCTCGACGTTTTCGAGAACACGGATCAACCGATTAGAGCAGATTAGTTTTTGCCTTAGGCAGGTCCAGCTGTTTCGGAAAAACGGAGCAAAAAGTGTCGAAACAAATTAAAATTTTTCTAAAACGCAGTTTTTTTAATTTTTTAAAAAAGCCAATTTTTTCAAAAATTTCAAAATACTCAAAAATTTATTTTTTTCATTTTTAAAAAAAAATTTAAAGCTTCTTAAAAATTTTAATTTTCGGCACGGGAAGTTTTAGCAATTTGTCTTAAGGCACGATGCCATGCACCACTAGTTTTTTTTTATATTTTGAATATATTAACTTCCCGTAGGTTATAGTAATCGCAAAAAAATCGAAAATATTTTTTTTTATTTATCTTTACGTTTGAAAAGCTTCTAAACATTTTGGCATACCTTAGAAAAAATTATGTGTGTGTGTATATATGTATGTTTGGATACAACATTTTGTCCACGATTTCGGGCGCACGAATCAACCGATTTGAATGATTCAAAAAACTTTTGATACCTATTGATGAAAAGATGTGCTGATTAGAAGACGGGTCCAGCCGTTTCGAAGTTACGGGGCAAAAAGTGCCAAAAACGATAAATAAGTTTATGAGAGAATGGAGTACCCAATTTGAATGGTTCAAAAAACATTTTACTTGTATTGACAAAATGAATAATTGGTGAAATTTTTGGTTAGGTAGGTCTAGCGTTTTTAGAGATTCAGAGGAAAAAGTAAAAGAAAATGATATTTGGCGGTCAAAAATGATCATTAGACATATGCACATCAAATTATCAGATATTTGATAAAATTTTTTAAAATGAGAACTAATTTTGTTACAAATTTTTTGAGGTCCGTATCAAGATTGTTAATTTTTAAAGTTTACTTATAAAATTTTCAGATTTTTTTTTCTAATTTTCAAAAATATACAGAGTTTTTCACTTTAAATATAAATTTTAAATTTACAATTCAGTTTGAAAATATATACATATATATATATATATATATATATATATATATATATATATTTTAAATGCGTTATTCTGATCCTCAGATGGATTCATTCGGCACCTCTTTCTAATGTAAATTTTCTCAAGTGTTTTGAGCGATAAGATCGTCACTGCATATTTTATGAACGGTAAAATATATAGGGATTATAATTATCTATTTGAAAATGTTTAAATTAATTATTCCTAATCATTGATCAATATTTATCGATTACTGTTTTTTTTCCTCGAATATTTAATTGTGGTACGGGAAGTTCCTGCAATTTGCCTTAAGGTGTCTTACCAAACCAAACCAAAAATTATTATTTTTTTAAAAACGATTAACATTTTTGAAAAAAATTTACTTAAAAAAATTTCTTTATTTTGACATATTTTGGAAATTCTGAACTTTTTTTTCAAAGCAATCGTACCGCTTTAACTGCATAGAGACGAAATGTCAAAGCGCGTAAGCGCCGCGTCGCCATCTAATAGATAAACATTGGTACGGAACCCATAGGAATGTAAAGAAAATTTATACTTATTGTTAAAATCTCTGATAATTTGATGTGCATATGTCTAATTATCATTTTTGACCGCCAAATGGCATTTTTTTTACTTTTTTTACTTTTTTTATTAGATCTTCGAAACCGCTAGACCTGCCGTCATGAAAATTTGATCAATTCTTCATCCTGTCAATACAAGTAAATTGTTTTTTGAATTATTCAAATCGAACGCTCCGTTCTCTTAAAAACTGAGTTACCGTCTTAGGCACTTTTTGCCCCGTATCTTCGGAACGGCTAGATCTGCCTTTGCCAAAAACTAATCAGCACGTCTCCTTATCAATACGAATCCAATGGTTTTGAATTATTCAAATCGGTTGATCCGTGTTCCCGAAATCGTCGACGAAAATTTGTATCCGAACACATGCACATACACGCACACACACACACATACACACATACATCTATTATCTCTAAAGTATGCCAAAATGTTCAGAAGGTTTTGAAACGTAAAGATATATAAAAATTTTCATTTTCGATTTTTTTGCGATTACTATAACTTGCCCTACGGGAAGTTAAAAATTAACAACCTATATAATGCGAAAGCTTGTACCATTTTTAATTACATGAGTATGTAAATCGAAATGTGAATGTATTGGAGAACGGAATGGGAGGTGTCTGTTATCTTGCATTCTTGTAAACATGCATTATGTGTGGTAGATGAATCGTCTCTATATCGCGTTACCGTTACAGAGTCAGTATTAACTTGTCACTCTCCTTATGTGTATTCTTGTACCTTCGTCGTTGACTAGTATTTACTGGAATTTAAAATAATCATTTTTTTACTCACTTCAAATTGGGTTCATTGCACCGAAGTTTAAAAAATACTACATGCACTTATTCCTGATTGGTGTTGATTTTGGAAATTGGTCATGTGAGCAATGTGTTGACAAATATAGAAATTGAGAGTATTTAATAATTGTTGCGTGATTTTATAAAATAAATGTTGTGTTGAACAATATTTGTTGTGGCCAGTAGCGAATATTATGAAGTTTTTTACATTCATAATATAACAGGTGTTCATCTGGTTAACTGCGATAAATCGATGCGAAAGTGACATATATCTTTTGTTTTTTAAACTGACTTTTCTACATTAGTAAATTTTAGCTTTCTTTTTTAGTGCTTTACATTTTCTCTTCTCTTATTCAATAGGATTAATCTTTAAATTTCCGTAGAGTAAGTTGTAGTAATAGCAACAAAATCGAAAATGAAAATTTTTATATATCTTTACGTTTCAGAGGTTTCTGAATATTTTGGCATACCTTAGAAAAAAAGGATGTATTTGTGTGATTGTGTGTATGTGTGTGTGTGTGCATGTGTGTATGTGTGTTCGGATACAAATTTTCGTCGACGATTTTGGGAACACGGATGAAACAATTTGAATAATTCAAAAAACATTCGATTCGTATTGATAAGGAGACGTGCTAATTAGTTTTTGGCGAAGGCAGGTCTAGTCGTTCCGAAGATATGGGGCAAAATTTTTGTATATCTTTACGTTTCAAACTCTTGTGAGCATTCTGTCATACCTTAAAAATATGGATGTGTGTGTGAATATATGTTTGTATGTATGATTGGAAGCAATTTTCCGTACACGAGAGCAGGGATCAATCGATTTTCATTTAACATTATATATTTTTATCGGATAGATTTTTTTATTCTTAAAGAAACTGGGTAAAAATACAAATGAAAAATGAAAGAGTGCTTTTTGCTTTCCTTATAAAAAAGTTAAATGTTGTGATTAGCGTTTTTGTTTTTGTCTTTGCGAACAAATATTTAAATAAATAGTATCTATTCTAGTTATAATTTACAGTGTTAGTCGTATATGACTATTAATAAGGTGACCATATTTTTTTGCATGAAATCCGGGACGGATTATAATGTGTGTGAGAGGGGAGGAGGGGGGGGGGGGTGTTGATAGGCTAAAAATTTATATGCAAATTCTTTCGGTTCAAATTTTCTAGTTGAAATATATTTAAAAAAATATTGGCACACAAAACATTTTTAAAAATCTGGAACAATCCGGGTCAAAACACCTAAAACCGGGACAAATATTGTTTTAGAAAAAACCGGGACGCAAGGCGGAAAATCGGGACTGTCCCGGTCAATCCGGGACGTATGGTCACCTTACTATTAACCTCATCTATTTTCTTAACTATAATTAACCCTTTCCACTCGCATGCCGCCGCATGCACGAGTAGAAAGGGTTAATATATACTCTTTTGGGTGCGATAATTTTGCAATATTTTCTACATTTGTTATCATTTTGAACAGTTTTCAAACATTTTATATAAAACATTCCACTATTTAACAAGTTTGAAAAATATTTTTATGCCAACAGAGACTGTTTTTTTGGCGCATGCACTTTTAGCATAACTTTCATATCGCTATAATTACTTTTATCAGTTTGCTCAAACACTTGCAAATCCAAGGAAAAGTTTTGATTTCTTACATGCATAAATTATGGATTACGCTTGAAGAATTCAATTTGGAACTTATTAACCTTATTACTCTATAGCAAAATTTCTTTATATACTGTATGTTGTTACCTTTCTAGGTTTCTACAAACAAAATATTTTTATTTACACAGTTTATAATTACTATAATCAGTTGCTATAATTACTTTTATCAGTTTGCTCAAACACTTGCAAATGTGAAAAGTTTTGATTTCTTACATGCATAAATTACGGATTATACTAGAAGAATTCAATTTGGATCATATTAAATTTATTACTCTATAGCATAATTTCTTTATATATTGTATGCTGTTACCTTTTTAGGTTTCTGTTTCTACAAACAAAATATTTTTATTTACACAATTTAAATTTTAAATCAACGCTCAAATATATATACTGACATAAAATCAAACACATTTTAAAACTAGTATTCTAGCCAGCATGATGTATTTTATTTTTTGAATTAGCTTGTATTTATTTTATAGTGTTTGTTAGTTGTTTCCATTATAAAGTAGTAAGTTTTTGATAATATTTTTTATTTTGATTGCTAGAGCGTGTAACCAACATCAACTTTATGTCCCAAGAAACGGAAACACCGTGGAACAGAGGTACTAACAAATTTATAAATGCATACTAACATTTACTTACATATATGTTTGTTATTTTTACTAACCCATTTAAAAATTCAGAGAACGGCCTTCTCAGCTACGAAAATCCTAATTATCATCTAGATCCGGCCCGGTTCGACGATGCTCTGAATTCCAATTCGGAACTGTACGATGATTTGTATCAAGAACTAGATTCCGTTTGTAATATTTCTTCTAAAGAAGTATTGGAAACTGGAGCAAGTCAAAATTGTCCAGGACGAAGGAGTTATGCTACATTGGATCTCAACTCGATGGGGGTTGATGTATCTACTGGACCGATCACCATGGATAACAGGTAAACATCTTCTCATGATCTATTGGTTATCAAACTCAAATATTAAAATATATGCATCTTTTTACAATGCTATTATTATTATATATAATTTGCATGTTAAAATTTATTGATTAGATAAATATATATATATGTATTAGGGTGGTCCTTAACAAGGACATTTTCGAATTTCTTTGCTCTCAAGGGCGCCAATGCTTCCAAATGAATAAAAAATGAATCTCTTAATATATTAGCGAATTAGCTCTTAATATAAACATTTAGATAGAGCGCACACCAATTGAAAGATTCTTATATTTGTTATTAACATACGTCATTAAGTAAATTGTTGCGCCATCTGTATATTATTCGTCAACTCAAATATTATGCCATATAAGAATATTTATAAACCGCTTAACCTCTACTTTTTGGAAAATTTAAACATTTTGGATTTAAAGTTTCTTTGTCTACTAAGATATGATTAGTAACGCCCTTGGTAATTGCTGGTCATATGGATAGTGAGATAAATTGAAGTTATGTCATCAATCGTATGGCACAAGGCTTGCGGTTAAAAAATTGATAAATTATTTAATTGAAGTATGGACGTTAACATTTTTCTAAGATTATTATTAATTTCCATTGACTATGGAATTCAAGTACATCGCCTTGCATTTATCACATGTAGTATTAACCTAGAATTTCAATTTATTTCCTTTGGTTGGACAGGTAGTAAATATATGTATATGATATGTAAATATTTGTATGTGTATTAATACAGGCAAATCTAAGAATTTTAGAATTTTTATAAGTTGATACAATAATAATTTGAAAGTTGAATCATTTACTTAACATTTTAGACGGATCTGCCGTATAAGTAAAAAGCGTATAAATATAATAGTTGATATTACCATATTTTATAGATACTCGTTCATCTGCGCTAGACGATCATTTTTTAGTAACTCAACTTGTATAATTCTTATAACTAAAAAGCCAATCGAATATAATGTTATATGTCTCGCAAAAATATTTGCAAGATTAACAAAATATATTTTCCATAAAATATATATTAAATGACTCAATTCTTTAACAGACTGGCCGAAAATCACATATTTTCTGAAACTTTGAAAACCGATAATAAGCACATGTCCGATATAAAATCTAGTTTATCGAATGAAGATATATATGCAGTACCCGTAAAACGAAGAAATGAACCATCTACAGAAAAATTATCGGAAGTTTCAACTCCAGAAAAGGGTGAGACTGAAGATCTTCCACCCGGCTGGGAAAAACACGATGGTGAGGAAATAATATATGTACATGAAAATTGATTGCATTAAGATTTTGGTTTTAGATGCTAATCGAAATTGATTGTTATAATAATATAATATACATGACTTATTATATAATTTACGATCTCTTTATATATGTAATTTTTCTCTAGATAATGATGGACCTTACTACTGGCATATAAAGAGTGGAACAATACAAAGGGAAGCACCATTGATTATGGCAGATGATGCAAGAAGATCATCTACAGATATTTTAGATAGAAGTAGTAAACTAGAAAATAGTCTTATATCGTCAGTAACACGCAGCAGTACCAGTTCTGCTTTAGATCAAGAATTAGATGAAAGAAAGAAAAGAGAAGGCTTAGCTTATAAGTAATTAAATAATAAAATTCTGATCTTAATACAATAAAATTTATGTAAATATTTATAAATTTAAATTCGAACTGTTTAGGAGGAGAAGTTATCCAATCCGTCCAGATCAAGATATACGAGATCGTCCAATAAGGTTTGCTGTGAGATCTCTTGGATGGGTGGAGATTGCAGAAGAAGATTTGACACCAGAACGGAGTAGTAAAGCTGTTAATAAATGTATTATTGATTTGTCACTGGGTCGAAATGATCTGCTAGATGTAGTTGGTCGCTGGGGTGATGTACGTATACCTCATTAAAAATAATTTCATTGTTTTGGCATTTACTTCACATTATGGCACTTGTTTCACTGTGTAATACTATTCAGTAATTTTTACATTATTTATTTTTTAGGGCAAAGATCTCTTTATGGATCTAGATGAAGGTGCCTTGAAACTTATGGATCCTGAAAATTTAACGACTTTGAACACACAACCTATTCATACTATTCGGGTATGGGGGGTCGGTAGAGATAACGGCCGGTAAATATCTTTCTATTTTATTTCTAGATAGTTTGTAATAAGGAATTTTTCAATTCAGAAAATAAATGCGTGTTTTTGTTCGTGTAATATGAACTTTTTATCATATAATTTCATTTTCTTCCATTTTTATTTATCTCTCATGCTAGAAACAAATTAGCATGAAATTAATGATAATATGATGTTCAATATTTCTTTTGTAATTTCTATATGCTATGCATAATACGGAATAATAGTAAATATTAATCAATAAATAATTTTTTGTTTATTCTTGCATTGGGATATACAGTGAAAGGTAATTTGATAATATAAGCTGAAAATTTATTTTTTTCTATGTACCGTATTAAATGACAAATTCTCATTCACTTGTAACTATTTTGCAGAGATTTTGCGTACGTCGCACGAGACAGGTCAACTAGGAAACACATGTGTCACGTATTTCGATGTGATATACCGGCTAGGACTATTGCAAATACTTTAAGAGACATTTGCAAAAAAATTATGATAGAACGATCCCTTCAACAAAGCTTATCTAGGCCATTTGATGACGGCGGCCCCGTGCGGCCAACAAATCTACCAACGGAGAGAAGATGGAATAACCGTGGTGGGCAAACTTTAGTCAGTGAGTATTCGTTTTTTATCTAATGAAGTACAGTGGTACCTCGACTTACGAGTGACTTGATATACGAACGTCAAAAAAACGTTTTGTTGCCTCGGCATCCTAACAGAATTTGAGATACGAGCTTTAAGGGGGTCTTCCTATGTGACGGTCTGTTTTTTAGGGATATTTTAGGATTTTTTTCTACGACCAGTAAATATTTAGAGCTTCAAGTTTTTTATCATTTATTAACACATATTTGGACAGTATAAATATAAAATTTCAGCAAAAAATATTCAGTCAAACTAGAGTTACAGCGCTCTGAACACCCCCGCCTCGAAAATAAGAGCTCCCGCTTTCTCCACGATTCCGGCTGATCGGCTTATCTGAAAAAAAAAAAAAACGGCGTTTTAATTTGTAGGATTAAAAGCACTGAATGACCTATAATCAAATGAATATAAAAAAAATTGGATTTTTGATAGACATTTGAAATAAATGTTGCAAATTAGGCGTTTTTTTTTTGTTTTTTGCTATAAAAAAATCGAAGTTTTGAAAATTTTCGATAATAGTTCATTCCATGCGTTTAAATACGAGGTCTGTTCAAAAAGTACCCGGAATTACTAATAATTAAATTTCGCGGGTCTGGAGTGTCTGATTGTCAAAATTTTTTTTTTTATTGTGTTGGTATACATGCCCCTAAAGTATGATGAAATTTTCAGCTATATTCACTGTTTACTTTGTCTGTGGTAGTCGCTAAGGTTCGACGTGTTTTTCTGAGCTCGGCGATTTTTACAATGGAAGAATTGAAAAGTCAAAGAATTTGTATTAAATTTTGCGTAAAAAATGAAATAAAGTGTTGCAAAGTGCAAAAATTCACCAGATATGGCTCCGTGTGACTTTTTCCTATTCCCAAAGTTGAAGAGACCCATGAAAGGACGGCGGTTTTCCTCGATTGAAGAAAATCGCTGAGAGTGCTCAAGGACATATCAAAAAGTGAATATCAAGGGTGCTTCGAAAATTGGAAAAAACGCTGGCATAAGTGTATCATATCTGGGGGGGGACTACTTTGAAGGGGACCACATTAATGTAGACGAATAAATAAATATTTTTTTGAAAAAACGAAAATTCCGGGTACTTTTTGAACAGACCTCGTATATTGAGTGTGCCCTGTAAATTTCAAGTAATTCAGTCCAGCCGTTTCTGAGATACAATGAAGGAAAGTTTGAAAAACACAGTTTTGAGAAAAATGCGTTTAAAGGCTCTAATTGCCAACTCAGCGCTCCGAACCGCTCTTTCTTTTACCTGCTGTATCTTTAAAACGACTTCGAATTTTCTAAAATCGCTTTACTACCGTATTCTAGACATGTTAAGGGAGCAATTTATGAAAAAAAATCGATTTTTTCAACCCATCACATAGGAAGACCCCTTTAAGGGAGTAAGAGCTGTTTATAAAAATGTTAATGGCATAATGGAAATATGAATAATTTCGTCAGTTGTGACAATTAGTATAATAGTAAATGTTTTTATATTTAAATATTTCAATTTTAAGGGCCTTACAATAATTTATAAACAGCTTTCTGGGCTCTAAAAGTTTGTGGAAAAAAATCACCCCAAAAAAGTTCTAACATTTTGAGTATGGAAGTTGTCCAAAAAACATGTCTAACTCATTTCCACAATATCATGAATGGGAAGGAAAAAACAATAATTAAATTAATATATAGTTAATTTATTTTTAATATTCAAAAAACCACCTTGCCGGAACGAATTAACGGCTATTCAATGCATTTATATGGAAAAAAGTGCTTTCAGATATGAGCGATTCAACATACGAGCGTGGTTACAGAACGAATTAAACTCGTATGTCGAGGTACCACTGTACATTATTTCTAAATAATTTTTAACTTCTTTATCTTCTAATCCTAAAAATTATATCTTTTGTAAAAGTTAGTTGGTGTCTTATCAATGTTATTCTTTTTCTTAGCTCAATCTTTTCCCACACCAATGGAAGAACCACGCAAAGTTCTTCGAGCCCAATATTTAGGATGCACGCAAGTAGCACAGGCTTCTGGTATGCAAATATTGAATGATGCAATAGAATTACTTGCATCCACAAAACCAGTCGAGGAATGGATACAAGTCAATGTGGCGGTAGCACCATCAATGATTTCGATACTTAAACCCGGGGTAAAAAAATAAAAACAATAAGCAATAATTATAAAATATTCATATGAAGAAATGAAAGGTTATCGTACTATTCTGATACTGATATGTTTTCATTACAGGAGGAAAATAAATTAATTGTAGAATGTCGCGTTCGATATTTGTCATTTTTAGGAATAGGAAAAAATGTAAAACATTGTGCGTTTATTATGCACACGGCACAAGATCAATTTATGGCCCACGTGTTTTACTGTGAACCTTCCTCGGGGGCTTTATGCAAAACTGTAGAGGCAGCTTGCAAGGTAAAAAATAATAGATAAGAATACTTTAAGCTATTGAATGAAATTTCTTTTATCCTGCAAACTCGATAAACTGGGATTTTAATACCTAAACTTCTATTGAGCCTTATAATGTTGACTTTTCTGACATTTCCTTTTTCGATTTCATTTCTTCAGTTGAGGTATCAAAAATGCTTGGATGCGCATCCAGGCAGTACGGAAGCAGGCAGCAGCAATGGAGGTGGCAACGACTCATCTGGTAGAGGTTTGGGTGCCACCATTAAATCGTTCGTTGGCTCATTGACCGGTCGAAGAACACGTGGAGTATCCTGAGAAGAAGCTTCGTCTCTGCAGGTGCGTAGTCTTAATGGAGAAAATTGTCAGTAAAATCAATGTAAAATTGAAAATTGGAGTAGATATTGTTTTGATATTTTATTGTAAATTTAATGTGTATTTGAAATTAAATATATTTACTCTGTTTCTCATTGATTTATGACATAATGTTATGTTATTATAAATATACGTGTAATTACTTTTCATTAAAAAGCTAATCAAGTATTTTACAATCTAAGGACATCTACTTAATCCTTTTTTCTGTGTTTGTGTCATGTTTTAGACATGTTACTTTATTGTTTTTGTTTCTTCTTTGCGTCATCACTTTCCTTAAATAATCATATAATTGCACATGAAAACAGTCCATTGTATATAATATATTATCTAGTAATTTAGTAAGTGGAAAGCATGTAGTTCACATTTACATCGTTCCAACACTAGTAGCTGTTTACGAATATCGTATGTCCGTGTTTATTTGAATCAGATAACACTTTTGGCTTTTTGAAAAATTAAAATATTGTTTTGTGAAAAGGATTGGTAACTTTTTAGAATTTAGAAGCCCCATTCCATCCTCGACGTGATCAATTTTTTCTATTGGGATCCAAGTATAAATACAGACATCAGTAATTTATATCGCTGCTAATATTTTGTATAGTAGCAAAATATAAAAATAGAATAGAAACACTATTATATTTTCTAAAGTCATAGTAAAATTATTCAAAAAGTGAATATTCAAAATATTTAATTTTTTAATGTTTTAATAATGAAAGTTGTCAAGTTATTGCAAGACACTGTTCAAATTTCTTGACATTTAGGAAATTTATATAATACGACATATTAGAATATCAAATGCTACACATAGCTTTTTGATAGCTAATAATAAAAGTCTCAATTACGATACTTTTGAGCGCAGGTTGCCGACTACTGATCTAGTAGGGTAAGGTTGCTCAAGTCGTACCACTGCTTAATTTGTAGCCCGACTGCTTAATTTGTAGTCATATTGGAAAACACTAAGTGAAGGTAACCAATAACGGTTTTCATTTTATGAACAGTTCTATTTCCATTTAAGGAATCAGAATTTTAGAAATTAAGTATTGTTTTAATAATATTGTTCGACTTGGTAATTTATAACTAAAGAAAAGTTGATGTGAGACTGTATTCTATATAGTTTTTAGTAACAGGTACGACTTAGGCTCTAGGTGGTAAAACTAAGGTGATGCCTCAGTTGTACTGAAAGCACATTTTTGAATAACGTAAAAATACCCATTTCAATAGAAAAAAAATTAAGTAACTGTTAAAAAAATGCTAAATGTTTTTTTTAATTTAAGGGAGTATTCCGTTCTAGAGGCAAAACTTTTATACGATTTTTGAAAGGCCGTAAAGAACAATATTTGGTTAACAATATTTTCACTATATTTTTGTCTACACGTTCTAATAACTTGTTAAATAACTTAATGTTTTGAGAATATAAAAAAAAAATTAAAAATAGTCAAAGTTTTAAATCTAGAAGGTGATGAATTGGGTGGTCTAAAAAAATTGGCCTGACCATACCCATGATTTTGGCGCTTTAAATAATAGAAAGAAAAAAATATTCATTTATTATTAATCTAGAATGATGTCGCATTCGTATGAACTACGGACAAGTTAAATTTTTTTTTCAAAAAATAGCGACTGTCAGAAAAAAAATTTAGAACTTTTCTTTTGATATTCTCGATTTTTTAAAAAATAGTATAAATCGGAATTTGAGAATGAGCGTAATTCATACTGAAAAGAAGTCTATAAAGAAAACTTTAGGAATAATTTAAAGTAAATCTGTCCATCTGTCGTATCGGAAATGACACTTTCGATAAAAACCTTTATAAAGTATTCTTTATATTTTTGAATAGTTGAACTCAGACAAATATAAAAAAAGTATATTTTTAATTTTACACTAGAATACTTTCAAAATTGCACTAAGTGGTCGTCTCACGTGAGGCTTTTAGGGGGAAGAGAGGTTTGACAAAAAATCATGAAAAATTATGTAGGGGAGGGAGGAGGCTAGTAAGATATCACGTGTATATATTTTTTACCTAAATTATAAAGTAAAAAAAATTACGTTTTTTTTTTGAAAAATTTGTTCGGAAAATTTTACGTTACTAAAAATACACGTGATGTTTGGTGGTGGGCAGGGTGGGGGGCAATTCTAAATATCACGACGTATCACCATGGGAGAGGTGGGGTCCAAAAATTGCTAAAAAATCGATCACGTGATTAATGGACGCCCCCTAAAATAATATAGCATTATTTCGATAGCGGATACGACTTTGGCAACCTTACCATATATCTTTTCTGGACTACTGATTCAATACATGTTTAATTACTAGTTTGATAAATTTGCAACGTTCCAAAAGTTATTGTGATAACAAAATATAGTACATAAATTTTGATTTCAATAATGAGTAATAAAAATAAATAAAAAATAGGGATCGATGCTATATAACTCGTTAGTGGTCGTTTTAATCGAACGGTGTTTGTCATACAGTATTGGTAAACGGCATGTAGTTTCCATCTGATTAGTAGTGTGCGTCTACAGGAATTATGGCCTTTGCCTGCAGAGCGCGAAGTCATCCCACATCGACACCTCCAGTCACCTCTGACATTGAAATATTTCGGCAGCTCCGAAGAGTCGGCATTGTCTTCTATAAGTTCACAATCTGCTAATCTGCGCTCATTGTTAAGTCCCACATTAGACACACGTAGAATTTCTAACCACTTGCAAAGATGGGTGTAGTAGAGTAAATTCGCAGCTCCTACTGATAACAAATGATAAGTATTATTGGATAGGCATTATTTTATAAGCTAGATCTTGTATAGTGTAGATATTGTGAAAATTTTCCAATGTTTTTAAACCAATACCCAAGAACGCTATGTTTTTCTATTTATCCTATTTAGAATATATTATTATAATCCGTAAATTATAACAATACATTCTAAATGATACAGTGTGACCTTGGTGGATGCTTTTATAAAATATTTATCCAAAAATGTTATTTATCCTATATATGTACATCATATTTCTCTTCGAGCAATTGTCGTAACTTGAAATCATACGTATATAAAGTATAAGTAATTCATCCAGGCAATCATTATTACAGGAACATGTTCTTGAAGTTTGTGCTTTTGTAGTATAAAAATCTATTGTGATTAATATAACAAATTGCTGTATTTGTTATAAATTTCAAATATTGTTGTTATTGTTGAAATCTAATTGCACTACACAAGGGTTTAATTTTAGAATACGAACCTTGCCCTTAGTGTGTGATAAATATTGTAAATCTATACAAGCTCTTGATTCTGTGATCATGACATCTGAATAAAGTATTATCAAGAGATTTAGGGGTCAATTCTCCGGTAAAATCGACCGTAACATAGTGTTGTTATAGCAACCCTCCTTTCTTTATATAAAATGGTAATAAAAACTGACAAAACTCTATGTATTTGTTGTACAGTCTGGCTTTTTAGATATGAAACCTGACCTAGAAAACACACAAATGTTAAAAAAAGATTGTTATCATAACTGCATCTTTTTGATGTGCATTTATAACACATACATGAAGTTAGGTTTTATGTGTATACAGCATTTGCCAGTATTTACTACCATTTTATATGAAGAAATGAGCGTGACAAAGCGTTGCCATAACAGCAGTATGTTACTGTCTTTTTTACCGGAGAATTTGCACCTTACTATTGTAATTAAAGGATAAATTACATTTACATTAAAAATATATTTAATTAGGACTTAATTTATTGATTATATTCCTCTCCAGTATTTCTGTTACTACATGACCGATATCTACGATTTAATATTCCATGACAATTTTTTATATACAATCATTGGGTTAAACAAGTAAGGCAACGATACAAACATAAAGGTGAATAAATTGTCCAATGAAAATAATGACATCTAATTTATTAACTGTATACTTATTTATTACTTGAAAAAATATAAACATTGTAGAGATATAAGTGTATATTTACACTAAAATTGCTTTTGCACATTTAACTTACGTGTTCAGCTATCTTGCCTTAACTAGATACCTTACCATGCCTTGTGTTGTCTCAACATACATTAAGCTTAATAGTTTGTACTTAATATTGTATTAAGTTATTAAAGATAACATTTATTTAGAAATCTATTGTAATATTAGCTTGCAATAATGAACAAAAATGTGTATTGAATAAAATATGGATATTTTCGAATCGTACTAAGAAAAATAAATAACTAAATAAATAATTCTACCATTACGGTTTTTATTGCATAGAAGATTTCCAAATTAATTTCGTTATGCATTTTTATTCAAATTTTGCGGGATATTGTAATCGGTGTGTCTCTTACAATCGTGGGCTGCAAATTGTGTAGCATATAAGAGAGCTAGAATAAAAATTAATAAAATTTTGTTGACACAAACTCGAGCTACCTTTTACTGATGCTAAATGTAGGTGTGCTCATACAATTAATTGATGCACATTGCACAATTGCTACGATCAATATATTGTAAGTGTTAAATTAAATAGCTTCAATATTGTCTGCCAGAAATATATATGTGTGCTGTTCCCATTGGTTTGATGTAATTTTGTTGTTAAAATAATTTATTAAATAGAACTTTATTTAATCATTGACATCTTGAAAGTAAAGACATTTATTTTAATAATAATATTTGATAATATTCTATTGGAGTCATGTAAGGAAAATAATGGCTAAATGACACTATGAAATCTGAACAAATTATGGGATATATAGGCTTTTTGATAGATTAGAATTGCTAATATAATATCTCAATTTGTTCACCGACGTCGTTATTAATGTGATTTAGTCATAACCTAGTATTATACCAAGAAATGTATTTATTTAAAGTTTATTGCTAGTAATTTCATATTTTTTATTACGTTTGTATTTTATATTATATGTCACTTTACAACAGACTATCCAATATTTATATTATAATATAATCTTTTATTTTGGTTTATATTATAATATACAAATTATAGTATAGTCTGTATTTGTACATTAAACATTATTAGACAGTGCAAGTCTTAAATATAAGAAAGCTTGACATTGCTAAGCAAACTATTAATAAATACATAGGATATGTGACCTGCAATTTTGCACTGTTAGCTATTTTACGATAATAACTATTGCATAATTATTTTGACTATTTTTGTATTCTAATTATTTAGTTATATAAGAATAGGAATTATGATTACTATATCGTTTCAAAAGAAGAATTGCGAATGTGTTAAAAAACAAAAGATATTAAGAAGTGAAATTAAAGATTTTACGCGATATTGCTCTATTTGAGTTTTTAAATTTGTAAATAGGAAATATATGTTTTTGGTAAATATCAATATTTTAATATTTTAAAAGAGCAACAATAAAGATAAATATATTTTTAGTGATAATATAATCTTAATGCAATTGTGTGCAATTTTATTGCATATTACCGAATATTTTGTCTGATTATTATTAAAAGTATTTTCAATTGATTATCATTAAAAATCAATATTTTTACATTTGAATATAATATTTTCTTCGTTGCTCTTGCTACCGCTATGCCTTCATGTATATGCAACTATTTCAAAGCAGATTTTAGAAATATAGATTTATTTACTAAAATGTAACAAAATATTCACTTTAAACTTTAATGACATGTATATAATGAAAATGATGTCTTAATGATTCTTTATGATGTTTGCTTGGTTTGTCATATGAATAAACTTTTAAAATTTCGCATTATCTACTTTTATTTTAAAAAAACCGTTATGCACATCCATTTTGCGGCTTTGTATATGTTTGCACAATTACTTTATAATATTTCATTTTATTCCAAAGTCTCCCTTTCTTGTTCTTTATAAAACAATGTGTTATTTTGTGTTTTTTTCTTGTGGAAACAATGTAGTTTCCAGCCATTTACCTGCATCTCCGCTTTTTTTGAAAATAAGGTTTATTCCCCTTAATTTTTCGTAAATACTCAGCTGATAATATAATTTATTTAACGGACTACAAAATAATATACAATATTATTATGTAAAAATGTACATAAAAATGCATAATACATAAACAATAATTATTTGCCTATTACTTTTTTGGCATCATTTCGACTTTTCTGGTTTGTATTTGCACTGGTCTTTGAACATTTTTGCATACCTCAGAAAAAATCGATGTGTGTTTGTGTATGTTTTGTCCGCATTTTTTCATCCACGTTTTCGGACGCACAGATCAACCGATTTGAATGGTTCAAAAAACATTCGATTCCTATTGATAGTGAGACATGCTTATTAGTTTCTGGCAAAGGCAGGTCTAGCCGTTTACGGAGATACGGAGCTAAGAGTGCAGAAAATAGAAATATAGTTTTTGAGAGAACGGAGTATCCGATTTGAATGATACAAAAACATTCAATTTGTAATTACAAATTGAATGTTATTGTATGATTGGGAGAAGTGATGATTAGTTTTTTGCAAAGGCAGGTCCAGCCATTTTGAATATACAGAGCTAAATGTGCAAAAAATGGCAGTTTTTAAGAGAACTAAGCATCCGATTTGAATGATTCAAAAAACATTCTGGTTGTGTGGCAAAACGATTGCTTTTGAAAAAAATTATTTCGAAATTTTTTTTTTCAAAAAAAATTTTTTTTTTGTGTATCGAAAATAATTATGAATTTAATTATAATTCTTGCTAAAATTCTAACGCTCACTTATATACTTTAAATAAATCATTTTACCTTTGCAATTTAGTTTATATAATTCTTATAAATATTAGACAGTATTTATAATAATCTATTTGAAAACATTTAATATTCCTCAAACATACGTTACGGTACGGGAAGTTCCAGCAATTTGCCTCAAGGCACGATGCCATACACCCCTAGTTTTAATGTTATATTAAATTCATTTTACACTTGTTGGAATAAACTACTGGCAATACTTTTCTAAATATGTTCCCTCTCATGTGGCAACACTATTGCACTATTGCCATGCTGCGAGCTGTCGGAAATTATTCGAAGTTTACGGTTTACAAATTGTTTACATTTGTTATGCCGTGTAAACAAAACTTAATATTTTTATTATAGGGCGTGAAGTAAACCTTTTTCAACCAATTTATCGCCCGCATTTTAAAGTAGCATGTATAAAGATCACAAAGTATTGAATTAAATTAGATATTAACAAATGTCAATATGCCGGGTACAATTTTAGAAAACTTAAGTGGTCGCAAGCTAGCATGTCTTGTGTCGTTATTACTCATTTCCCAAGTAGTGTGCTTCCTTATCGGTGGATTAGTAGGTAAATATTAATTCCAACATGTATGTTTTATTGAAAAATGTATAAATCAAGCTGTCTGTGTTCTAGCCCCATCTCCATCAAATGTAAATTTAGTTTTGGGGACCATTTGTCGAGATAACGGTGGCCACAATGATACAACTAAATGGTTGTACCCCAGAGGCAAAGGCTCTTGTGAAAAAATTAATGTTGCAGATATTAAACAGCATAAGCAAATGGCCATGGAGATAGTCTTCACGTTCCAGGTATTTAGCACAAAGTTTGATTATAATATTAATATATATATATATATATATATATATATATATATATATATACAGTAGAACTTGTTTATCCGGATTTTGGTTATACGGATTTGGAATTATCCGCACTACCAACTGCAACAATTTTATGTATGTACATACCTACAATTCGAATTTTTGCATTATTAATGGTACAGTTTAGTATATGTATGTAACTTAATCTAAGAAAATATGTATGTACATACATAAGGAAGTGTTGATTTCTTAATAAACAATATTTTTGTTGATTTGAATAATATTCAATTATTCAAATTTTCGATTATCTGAATGCTGTCGACAACAATTAGTCCGATTAATCGAGTTTCTACTGTATACAGTATTAATAAACATAACATGATATTTTAGATTCCTCTTCCAAAAGACAACATGATTTTGGACTATTCACGCTGGCAACAGAATTTGATTGGTGTAATCCAAACTGATATTTCATATGAAAGCAGCTTCTTAATACGTATGTGTATTTAATTTATGTAACATTATTTATTGAATCTAAAAATTCTATTAACTCTATATGCTCAATGGTGTGTCGCTTTGCAATTCACCTGTGGGCATGGTTTATATTAACACTTAACGGATGGGTCAAATCTGTTCTGATCGCACCTAATTTTCTTGAATTTTTTCATTGTGACTATAATAAAACTTCATTAAATCAATCATAATAATTTATTTAATATTTCATAATCATAAAGCTTTTAGTATTTTAGTAGAGTGTGTGAACATTCACCTTTATGTAAACGCAAACACATAAATCTGAAGTGCCCACCCTGTAAGTGTTAATATTATGTACAGTTCATTTGCCAATTATATTTGAAAATATACTGCATTTAGCAGTATAAGTTAATTTAATATAGTTTTTTTTTTTTCAATTTAATTTATTGTGCAATCTTTAATATAAAACAATGAGCAAAGATTGTTAACAATATAAAAAATGATTAACATTATAATTTGATTATAATCCAGCAGAGAACCTATTAGGAGCATGATATAAAAGAAAAACAGACATACCCTTATTAAACATATATTTTTTCATTTTTTTTTTAATCTATACAAAATTGAGGATTTTTTTATGTGGTTTCCACAGATTTTTGCTTGTGGAGACCGCAGCACAAAATGGTCTTGAACATGTTAATTAAGTGTAACATTTAAATTATATTACTACCTACTGCATAATTTACACTACCTTGAATACATGCTACTTATTAAATAAATACTGGAATTATCTGTTTTTTATTTTTATATAGAGACAAAAACGACATTAACACTTGATGCTCGTTTGGCATATCGAAATAAAGGTGATGCTGATGACGACTGGAAGTACTATTCATCATCTGTAATAGAAAGAGTTTTAAATTGTCATGTGGATGAGGTAAGTGTGGAGCAGGAAACTTTGTTCATTAAGTTTAATGCTTAGTACTATCATTTACAAATTAAATCTGGTAATTATAAAAATATAATACTTTTTATATTTAGTTTTTTTAAAAATCAATATAATCTCTCTCAGGGGATTTTACATTGGCTGTTTGAAACTGATTGATTGACAAAACAGGGGCATATCATTCATGCGTTCAGTGAGCGGTTAAATTTATCAAAATCAGTCTCTACAACTGGTCAACCATTTTTCTAATTTTGCTAGATTTAAAGCATGAGAGCACATAATTATGTGAATTTTTAAATTTTGTAAGGATTTATGATACTTTCATATTTCCTGTTACAATTCATTTTGTGTCTTTATAACTCCTGGAATAAGTCTCTTGAAGGAGTTAAAAATATATTTGAATTAAAATACATGATCAGTGAAAATTCACAAAAAAAACTAAAAAATTTATTACATAATAATAAATGACGGCGAGGCACTAAAATTCATATTATAAACATTTATGCATATGATACAATTTAAACCTTTTTTGATTTTTCAGAAACCTGTATACTACAATTGTAGTGCAATACCCTTGTTTGAACTTGGATCTTTACACCACGATTATTATTTATTGAATATTCGCCTTCCTATTGACAGTGAAAAGAAAATGAATTTGGATATAGGGTTTATTGAAGATATGTGGCTCACGGTAACAAATATTTGTTTAAGAAATTATTTAGTATAAAAACATTTAATTTGCTTTTATTTACTTTAAAACATTCTCCATAGATTATAAACCAAAATGGGGGCTTTACAAAAGTGTGGCTGTCTTTAAAAACTGTTTTCTTCCCATTTATTGTTGTTATAATGATATGGTTTTGGAGACGTGTTCATATGCTCTCAAGATCACCAGCTTTATTAGAATATATGCTGATATATTTAGGGCTTACTTTAACTTTCTTAAATAGTAAGTAATAAAATTATTTAAATATACCATAGTTCATTTCATCTTCATTTATTTAAAGATTATATAATTTAATGTACTGATTTAGGTTGAAAACTTAATTATAAAACATGAACTTCAAATAATATTGTAATATAAGTATTGCAATGTATTAACTTAGAACTCTTATTATTTATTTATTCATAATAAATTTTTTTAATATGGCATGGTTTCATAATTTTATGTTTTCACATTTTGAAGAAAATAATTTGTTTATAGTTGGAAATCATTTTTGTTGTTACTCAGTATTTTAATTACAATATGTGTTTATTTTGATATTGCCTTATTCATATTTTTTTTTTTTTAGTGCCTTTGGAATACTTAACTTTGATATATGATATGCCATTTATGTTACTTTTGGGCGATATACGTCAAGGAATATTTTATGCAATGCTACTATCATTTTGGCTTATATTTGCCGGAGAACACATGCTGGTAATTATTTTTCACAGACTATTTCTAAATTTGTCTTTTCTTTAGCACTGGAATTTACTTCTAATTTTTTAATAATATTAGATTCAAGACACTAAGAAAAGTACATTGAAGGAATATTGGAAGAATCTCTGTGCTGTGGCTATGGGCTGCGTTTCTTTATTCATTTTTGATATGTGTGAACGTGGTGTGCAACTCCATAATCCATTCTACTCTATTTGGGTTACAGATATTGGAACAAACTTAGCAGTATCCTTTTTCAATAATCTAGTTTTATATTTTTCCATATTTGCATGTTTCTAGATTATATATATTGCTTTATGATTTTTTCTTAATAATTATTATAGCTAACTTTCATTATCCTCGCTGGAATTTCAGCTGGTGTTTACTTTATGTTCCTTTCCTACATGACATGGAAAGTGTTCTGTAACATTAGCATTAAGCAGTCTTCATTGCCTGCTATGTCTACAGCTAGACGATTACATTATGAAGGATTAATTTATCGTTTTAAATTTTTAATGCTAGCTACTTTATTATGTGCAGCTTTAACAGTTATTGGTTTTATTTTGGGACAAGTAAGTAACTCATTTCAATTTTAGTTCAAAGTAAGTATTGTAAATTCTACTAATTTGTTTTGTAATATACAGGTTACTGAAGGAAAATGGAAGTGGGATGACGATATTGATCTCAATTTTACTTCAGCCTTTTTCACTGGAGTTTATGGAATGTGGAACATTTATATTTTTGCATTGATTATTTTATATGCTCCTAGTCATAAACAGTGGCCTGCCGATAGTCATATAAGTAAGATTTTTTTTGTTACTATTTACTAATTATCTGAATAATAGTTCACAAAATGATGTTTTTATTGAGGCATATTTTGCTACTTGCATGGCACATGCCAGTTTAGTATCTGGATCTTTCTTTACATTTATTTTTAATTTATTTACTGCTATCTGTTATTGAAAGCAATGAGCAGAAATTGTTAATATGAGAAAAGGGATCACTTTCTCACAAATTATCACTTTCTCGTATATTGTTAACAATTTCTGCTCATCGTTTTCATTAGCAGATTGTAGAATAAATGAATTAAAATATATATATGGGTACAGATATTTCTAAATATATATATATATATATATATATATATATATATATATATATATATATTTAGAAATATCTGTACCCACACTTTTGTCCACATAGAATTGCCATTTAGTTTTAGTTTTCTGTATTAGCTTGATTGAAAAAGTTCTTCATATACAATATTTAGGCTGCGATTTTCTTGAGCGAATACAACAGCACGTTTAGCCTTTTTCAAGCATTTAGAGAGTTTTGACTTTCTGTTAATCATAACTAACATTTAAAAAATGAAAAATCCAGCTTATATTTTTGAAAAAATAGCTATCAATGATACTAACTAAATAAAATAACTTATGAATAATTAATTTTTAGTTAAATCTGTAAGGTGAATGCAAATGTACTTACACTATAATTATTTAAAATAGTTTCATAAAGGTAAAAAAAATTAAATGAAACAAAATTATTCAAATTAAAATAATATAAGATGTAAAAATATATATAAGATTATTAAAATATTTTGAATTATGGTAAGACAAAATTGAAAAACCAAAAAAAAAACAATTAATAAACCAGTTAACTTTATTGTTAAATTTCATGTGGATGTAATCGCGATATTTAAAAGTAAACTTGGCCCAGATGCATCCTGCCAAGAAGTTTCATCAAGATTTGTTCAGTCGTTTCGAAAAAAATGTTAATTTGGTGTATATACCCTATTTACATTAGTGCATATAATAGCTAAATCTATATTACAGCCACTCTAATTTTATTTATATGTATAAATAATTATATTCTCATTTGTTTATATATATATTTTTCATATTTTATAGTTGTAATATTTTATCATAATCTTACAGCTGATCATAGTGTGAGTGAAGAAATAGAATTCAGCCGTTTGCCAACAGATCCTTGCTCAAGTGAAATATCATCCCTTACTTCATTTGTTAGAAAAACAGCAGTGGATTAAATGGGAAAATCTTTGGTTGTTATATGGTGCATGTGGTTTTGAAATACTCAATTTGAGGTCTTCGCAATCTTTATAGATTAAGATTTTATACAAATGTGCTTTTAATACAAAAACGTCATGAATATGTACGTCATAAGATATGAGTTCTGTGGTATTATATTTTACATCTATAAATGATAACCATTTAATGATAATTATTTTGCTAAAGTAAATTAGAGTTAATTAATATTAATAATTGAAACGTATTAGATGTTGTGTTATTGAAATAATTTTTATATTTATATGATCTTAATATTATATAAGCCTAACAGTATTATTGATAAATGGCCATGTTAATTTTATGTATATTTATACCCATAATTTTATAGCTTTTTATATGAAAATGTAATATTAAGTTTGCTAGATTAAAATTTACTTTATTTTGAAGTGGCTTCTGCTAAGCTCATTCAACTCGAATACTAGAAGCTTTTAAACAATGTTTTAAAAAGAGCTTTCTAATATTTTAACAAATTCTTAGCTATTTATGTTGCTCTCTGTTTTGTACTATAATTTTAACTGATAACAGTATTCACATAAACAATTGTAATGTTTGTTTTTGCAAACTGTTTAATTATTGTCTTGTAACTTTCATAATTGTCTTATTACTATTTATTTCATACATACTATTCATTTTCATTTGAACCATTGATCCATAATGTATATATAAAGTTGCGCTTCCGTCAATGTACATTGATGTTAAAATAAATAATTATAATTTAACATCTCTATTTCAAATATCTAACTTAGTTTATTCAAGGTTTCAAGTGATTCTAAATCGTTTGACTTTACATCGGCTTTAAATTGTTCGAAATTTGGTAAAGCTATATATGCGTGTGGACTAAAATTTGACCTGATGACCAAATTTTCTTAAAAACGGATGCACTGATTTCAAAAAATTTATGCCATTTGATATTGATTAGTATTGCAAGACGATCATCCGAGCTGTTTCTTTAGAATTTGCAGCAAGGTGCAAAAGTTTTCATCAACGTTCTCACCAAAAATGTTCAACTGACTTTGAAAATTTTAAAACACGATAAACGAAAACAATGAAATGATATGACTTGGGTATTGTGCTGACTAGTTTTTAGTTAAGATCGGCCGGGCTGTTTCTTCATAATTCATTGTTGCATTTTTTTGGCATTGACGTTCACATGAAATAAAACACATTTTTAGAACACCAAGTAAAATGATATGTACAGCCATACTTGTTTATCTATGTGTGTTAACAATAGTTAGTTCTAAATAGCTAAATATTATTGATTAAGTTGGTTATTTACATGTATCGAAAAGTTTATATAAATTGCCTTAAAACAAAATGCCACTTACAATTAGTAATTGCGTTACAAATTTCTAGATAAATGAAAAAATATATTGAAATCTAGTGTAGTATAAATTTTTATATTCTTATTATGTCACTTGAATTTACCGCTTTGCTATAGCCAAGACGCCAACCTTCAAAAATGTCAACAAGATAACGAAATTTGACCGATTGTGCAAAGATTTTATCTATATTTATTTAGAACATTGACAATATACAAGTCACATTATATAACAATTTTGCACATTTTCATCATCATGTCTTTCAGATTTTGTCCAAACCTATCGTTTTTATTTAATGAAGTTCCATTTGCCAGCAGATATCAAAAGGCAAAATCTTTGGGATTTAAAGGGGTTGAAAGCGGTTTCCCTTTCAATGCCGATTTAAATGCTGTCATAGATGCAAAAAATGATTCGGGCATTGATCATGTATTAATAAATATATATACAGGTAATAGATAATGTAGGAAAATGATTAACATAACAATGTCATTTTGTTCAATTTTAGGGGATACTTCGAAAGGAGAACTTGGCTGTGCATGCATACCTGACATGTCTTCAGTATTTGATGATGCACTTGATAAAACTATTGACTTAGCTAAGTCATTAAACTGCAAAATGCAAGTTCTTACTGTATTTATTTAGGAGCTTAAATATTTTATTGTTGTCAATGATAATGAAGATTTCAAATAAAAATTTGGCAGGATTCATTTAATGTCGGGAAAAGTAATTGGTCCATGTACACAACAAAACGATGAAGCTTATTTGCACAATTTGCAGAGAGCATCAAAAAAGTTAGAGCAAAATGATATAATCGGTTTAATTGAGCCAATCAACTCGATAACTGTGCCTGGATATTATTTAAATGATTACGGCAGAGGTAAGTGATATAATTTTTTTTATTACAAAATCTGTTTCAGTTAACTGTTATATTTTCTTTATATAAATTTGTATTTCATTTTATCCTCATATTTTATGAATCATCATTGTTTTATATGAATATTAATAGTTTTGTGAATAATATATGTCTATAAGTTATTACTTTATTCAAATCTAACTTGTTTTTTTTTTTAATATTTCAGCACTCACTGTCATTAAATCAATAAATAGTCCAAATTTGAAATTGATGCTTGATATTTTCCACCTACAACATATATGTGGAAACATTTCTCATAACATTAAGACATTGCTGCCATATATAGGGCATATCCAAGTAAGTTAAAATATTTCAGTTTAAGATTTAGTTAAAACTAATTTATACATAAGATAACTTGTTAATCAATAAATATATATTATTCAGATAGCGCAAGTGCCTAATCGCAATGAACCGAATACTCCAGGGGAAATTAATTTTCCATATGTGTTTAAACTTCTAGAACATCTAAATTATTCGAAATGGATCGGGCTTGAATATGTTTATAAAAATGGTTTTGACTGGATATCAGACTATGGTTATTCTAATTAATAATTGTTTTACAGTAATAACAACAATAATAATACAAATTTCAGCAGATTGTAAATGTTATTGACGCTTCTGATTTTGTTATGATCATAATAATTACCTCCCAACAAACAGCTTCATGCCTCACAGCAAACAGCTGTTATTTTGACGGATATATTGTTAAATTATCTTCATTTGTGTCATCATTATATACTCCTTATATCATCTCATATTGCATCAAATTGTAAATCACTGGCACTAGGTTTATTGATCATAATTATATAAATATGTATTGTATTGAAAAAAAAAATTAATATATTTTTGTACTGTGTGAAATAATGAATTTTATTTTGCATATACTGTCATTTACATTCATCGTTTCATTCTTTGAATAATTGCTTCACTGACATTTACTTTGATTTTGCTTATATCTGCGGTTATATATATATTTTTTTTTAATTTTATGTTTTGAAATTGTGCTTTCGAAGCATTTGTTAACTTCCCGTAGGGTAGTTATAGTAATGGGCCGAAAATCGTAAATTAATTTTTTTGCATTTCTCGACGTTTTGAAGTTTTTTGAAGATTTTGGCATACCTCAGAAAAAAATGATGTGTGTGTGTGTGTTTTGTATGTCCGCATTTTCTCTTCCACGTTTTCGAGCGCGGATCAACCCATTTTAATGGTTCAAATCATCATTGACATTCGATTCCTATTGATTCGGAGATGTGTCCGATTTGAATGATCTAAAAAACATTGAATTTGTAATGATTGGGAGAAGATGTGATTAGTTTTTGGCAAAGGCAGGTCCAGCCATTTCGAAGATACAGAGCTAAATGTGCCAAAAATGGCAGTTTTTAAAAGAACTGAGCGTCCGATTTGAATGGTTCAAAGAACTTTCTGCTTGTTTTAACAAAATAATTGCTTTTGAAAAAAAAAATTGTTTCAATTTTTTTTTTGTATATCGAAAATAATTCAGATTTTAATTTAATTCTGATTAAAGTTTTTTAACTCTGACTAATCTTATATACTTTAAATAAATAGTTTTAACTTTGTAATTCAGTTTATATAATTCTTATAAATATTAGACAATGTAATAATATTTATAATAATCTATTTGAAAACATTTAATATTCCTCGAACATTTCGTTACGGTACGGGAAGTTCCAGCAATTTGCCTTAAGGCACGATACACCACTAGTTTAGCTGTCCATTAACTCGAAAAGAGCGATTATGAGCGAGTTCAAAATCTATTGAAGTACTTTATTGAATTTTAATGCATAGATTTTTCAGATTTTTTAAATGCAAAAACATTTTGAAATAATTTCAGTTTCACTTATCTAATATTTGAATGTACAACGGCAAGTTTTACCAATAGGTAGCGCCAAAATAGAGAAAGCAATTCACACAGCCGACATCTGAATATTACCAGATCGATGGTTTTCATTCGCTTTCCCTAGTTTATTTAAGAAGATTGGCGTTTTTTGTACAACTCACAGGCGTGTACAATAGAATTAAAAATGTGGAAGATGATAAAGTTACTTATTAAACTTTACTGACATTCCACATATAACATTAATGAAGCGGCACACGTTGTAACAAATAGTTTGGATCATTATGTGCATAATCTATTTGTTTATTTAATTTGTGTAATAATATGTACTGAATTACTAATAATTTATTACGTTGCTTTATAGGTTCTGATGCACCCAATTGGTTTTATTTTATTTGTTCTTACTATTGAGTATGGGTATTTGAAAGAAATTAGAACATGGAGAAGCCGTATTAGCTGAAAGAGGTAAGTTCATAAAAAAAAAATGAATTGTAACTTTTTTACCCTTTCGCTACGAGTTAGTTTTTCGCAGGAGTCACATACTGTATGATCCAACAAGCCGCACTAGTATTTGCTACACAAATTATTTTAAGATTTATCAATAATTATTACTAAATTAAAATCACAATAACAATTTAGAATTCTCAATAATTTATCCAAGTGTGATAAATATTTATGCACAGTTCAAACAACGGATGTCGTCTATAAGCGACACTAGTACAAAAAAGTCGTCAAACAGATGTTCCTATAGGCGACGCTCGTAGCGAAAGGGTTAATTGTACATTTTGTCAGGTTTGGACTATGACATACATGAGTTTTATAAATTTTATATTATGATCTAAGCACAATGCCTTAGATAGGACGATTGCATACATTTTGATAAATATAAGTCTAATGGTTAGGTCAATAATCGAAATATTTAGATAAAGATCATTTGTTTTATCAATATTTTGAATAATTGCAATTTTATATATAGGGCTATAATTTGCTGCAATGTGTCTAATATAACTACAAATTCGGAAGCCAATTATTTTTCCATAATATAAGATAATAGGATATTGTTAACATAAAAAATCGACTTATGCAATCTGAATGTTGTAACGTGAAGTGTTGCTTTGAGTGCATTTTACAATGTCTTATATAGCTTACCTATGGATTATGTATTTTCTGTTAATAAATTAGTAATAACCCCGCTTAACGCGGGTTACGTTCCATTAAAGTAAAGCGTAAAGCGAAATAACGCTAAACGGGACGATCTTAACATGCAAATAATTTGATAAGGTAAAGATAAAATAAAATTATGGCTATATATTAATTTCAACAATAAAATAAGATTATTTCATACAAAAATAAAAATAATTTTAACGAATATACTTATAAAAATAAATAAAATTCCAATTTATTCGAATCACTCAGTTATTCTGTTTCCAATATTTTGCTTTTTTAACTTCCCGTAGGGTAAGTTACAGAAAATGAAAATTTTTATATATTCTTACGTTTTAAAGGTTTCTGAACACTTTGGCATACCTTAGAAAAATTTGATGTAGGTGTGTGTTCGGATACATATTTTCGTCGACGATTTCGTGAACACGGATCAACCGATTTGAATAATTCGATTCGTATTGACAGGGAGACTTGCTGATTAGTTTTTGGCAAAGGCAGGTCCAGCCGTTTCGAAGATACGGGACAAAAAGTGCAAGAAAATTGTAATTTAGTTTTTGAGATAATGGAAGCGCTCGATTTGCATGATTCAAAAAAACATTTTATTTTTGTTGATGAAATGAAAAACTGATGAATTTTTTGGGTAGGCCGGTCTATGTCAATTGGCGGCCAAAAACGATCATTGCACATATGCACATCAAATTATCAGATATTTAATAATAAAAACAAACTTTTGTCACAAGTTGTTGATAGAAGGATAAAGCATTTATAACACAAGCCTTGCTGTTGATCTCTCTTATCAGAATTTTGATTATTTTCAACATATTGGTCCTTAATTTCTGTCACATTGATATCGTATCTATTTACATGTAACTTTGAAAACTATTTTTTTCTTTTCTTCGTAAACCCTCCACTATCAATATTTTGTTTTATTCTTGCTCAGTCAATTGCTTGATCATTATTAATAAAGACTAGCTGCTGTTTTTTTAACTATTTTTTCTAGATTTCCATATTATGTGATGTAAACTTTTTTTTATGGTATGTAATCTATACATTTCAAAGGTTCTGAACATTTTGGAATACCTTATAGTTAGAAAAATAGATGTATGTGTGTATGTGTATGTATGTATATGCTAATTCAAATATTCGTCGACTATTTCGGGAACATCGATTCAACCGATTTGAATGAGTTTTTGACCAAGACAGGTCCAGCCATTTCAAAGATATGAGGCAAAAAGAGTCAAAAATAGTAATTCAGTTTTTGAGAGAACGGAGAGAATTGTCAAAAATTTTATTTTTTCAAAGCTTTAAAAAAAATTTGAAAGCTTTTCTAAAAAAATCAATTTTTGGTACGGGAAGTTCCAACAATTTGCCTTAAGGCACGATGCCATGCATCATTAGTTTAACGATTTTACTCGTATTTTCGAGAATTACCAGGCAGAAATAAAAGAGCGCTAAATGTTAGCAGTGTTAAGCGAACTGTTTTACTGATTTTCTAGTTTGACTAATTTCAATAGAATAATTAACAAAATGCGCATCAGATAGACTTGAACTTGAAGGCTGAAGCCTGAAATCAGCAGTGACGGATCCAGCTTTGGCGCCAGGGGGGGGGGTCATAGAATTAAATTGTGTATAGAACATATATTTGCAATACGATCCTTAAATTAAAAATCCTTAAATTTTAGAAGTCTTTGACTCCGCCGTAAATTTTAGGAGTCTTTGACTCCGTCGGTCTATAATAAGTTACATATTGAAGTTATAAAATGTGTTTAACAAAATACATAAATAAAATCATTATGAAGTAATTTTATTGCTGAATTAGTGTTCTATCTAAGTCTTAAGACAAGCTCAGGGGAGGGTCATGACTTCCGTGATCCACCCACTGGATCCGCCACTGGAAACCAGGCTGAAATAAGAGCGCTAAATGGAAGCAGTTTTAAACAAACTGTCTTTTACTGATTATCTAGTTTTACTATTTTCAATAGAATTAACAGAAAATGTGCATCAGATAGGCTTCTACATTTTCAGGTTTCTAATATACGCATGCAATTTATTTTAAAGTGCATTATATTAGATGTCGTAGTACTGCGTTCGTTTATATTCTGTGTAACAAGAGTGCACAGTGTAGTTCTTTGACATACTAAACCTAGTAATTTTTTATTTAATCAGAAAAATGCTGCCGCCTTTCTTATTTCTTTCCAATATGACCAGACACACAATTCGAATCCCGAGCTCGCACACATAAACAATACTCACGCACACGAAACCCCACACCGCCGCGCACAGTTTCCATATAAGGCATCACAAAGACCGAGATCAAAGCAAATCGTGGAGGCGGGCTATTAAATTAGCACAGAGCACACCCTTCCGAACCCCAAACCCCAACTCCGGGGCTTCTTCGAGCTAAGGGTATGTGGGGTGGTATATATACGTAGCAACTCGCCTGACCGAATGAAGTGCGCACGAATATGAATATTTCAACGAGAACGAAATTACGATTAAAGGGGGCGCGGATGAAGTCATGCAAAATATTTTATTCGGATTATCAGCCGTACCAATTTTGAATAGGGGTATATAAGCTACGATGTTAGGTTTTCATTACTCCAGACTTTTCTGTATGATTTCGCACTCTACTTTTATTTTCCATATAAATTAAAAAATACCGATGGCAAAGTTTACGAAACTCAAAGAATTACTTTTAATTCTAAATGCATTCAATCAATAGGGAAGACTGGGTACGATGTGTCACTTTTTTATCATCAAT